TACTTCCTCCACTTCATCCTCTCCTTGGGAATGACCACCTCCGCTAGCGGTTGACCCAGCTTCATGGAGACACTGGTGTGCTTACCTAGGTGGAGGTTGCCAACGGTCATCGCCTTCACCGTCGTCATAGTAGGCCTCACCATCGGCATTGGTGTGTCTCACCATGTAGACCACTTCCATGTCCAAGGTGTTATTCTTTTCTTCCATTTCTTCTTCTAAGTATTCTCCCATATTTTCTTCCACATCTTCTTCTTATTCCTCTTCTTGTACTTGGATCTCCGAGCAGCGACACCACTAGATTTTCAGTTGCTGATTCGGAAAGAAAACTTCTTCGACCTGTGGGCTGCGATCAAAGTTGGCTAACTCTTTCCATGGGGTTAATGAGCGACGGGATCCCCTGGAGGATTCTTCAAGGTATCGACCGTCGAAATGGGTTGTCGTCGTGGGCCTTTCTTGGGACCCATTTTTGACGTTTATGGTTTGGTGCGGATCTCCGGGAAACGTCACCAAATGTCACGCCTAAATCAACTCTTCTTTCTTTTCTTTCTTTCTCTTTTCTTCGAGGCTTTGGCCTCCAGATTTATTTTTCTTTCCACCGGGACCTTTTGGTAATTAATCTCTGAACTTAGGTTTCAGGTGTCACGCACCGTATTCACCGAGTGGAATATATTTTCTTTTTTTTTCTCTCCGCCACAATAGATAGGCGCTCCCTTGATGGCGTTCTCCTGGCCTCAGTCACCAAAGGCCGTTGGAACTTCTTCTTCAGTCCTTTCTCCTTCACAGTCTTCAGGACTATAAATTCAAGCTGATAGTGTTTCGGACTTCTTTTGAGGGGCTGGGACCTCAGGCTGTTGGTCCTAGAAAGATTTCTTCAGCTCCCTGGTAGAGCTGTTTCTTTTAACCCATTTCAGGTCTGCAAACTCGTTCCGGGTAGGAATGGTTACCTCTGGCTTCTCGGCCGGCAAGTTGGAGGGATGGGTTAAGAATTGTTGCTGAGCTCGATGTTCAGCATTTTTCTTTCTCCTCTACCTTCTTGTAAGCCTTCCTCCAGATGAGGAGGCCTCATCATCATTCTTCCTGGGTATAACAATCTCCCTAAGGTGGTGGTGTTTCCAGTCACCACAGGGATTCTTCCATCAGCCACAATCCTCTTGGTGGCTGAGGCTTCAAATTGATAATGTTGTTCAAATATCGAAACCCTCCATTAAATCTTTTCAACAGCAGGTTGTGGCACTGTCAGATGCGCACGATGCGTGGCTTCTTCAGTAGAGTAGTGTCTTTTGGCAGGCCTTTCAGATTCCATGCCGTGCATAAGAATGGCGGCAGTCCTTGCAATGACTGCAGGGAAGTCAAGACTATTAAATTGGATGGTAGCCTTGGTGTTGCCAGTAGTGATCACAACGTTCACTAATTGGATACTAGCATCGCATCCCAGTTGAACGGTAAATGCAGTGTTCTGTAGATCCATCTGCACAAATAAAAGGTAAGGGTTAGTAATCATTGTCTGATACATCATCCTACACTTTCAAAATGCAAAAACTTACATAAAATAGAAAATAAAAATAGATAATCATTAGCAAGTAATTAAATTAGTATAAATTTAAAATTCTTGCTAAATGAATATTTTATGAACTTATTGAGTTGATCACTTTTAGAGTATTTAAGAATTTGAGTCGTTAAAAGATCATTTTGGAAAATCCTGAAATTTCAGGCCATATAGACTTGACTGTTATGATAGTACTGAGATGCCTAGTTAAAGATGGAAAGAGAAATCAATCCCCAGCAGAGTTGCCAGAAATCTGGGGCTCCAAAAATTTGGCCCCGGCCTTCGCCTTCTTTGCTTTTTATTCTGGAGGAGTTTTAACGAATTAAGTTCCGGGGTAAATTTTGGAAAACAATGAGTTTGTAGATAAGACACTACCCAAAGATTTTACCCTCATTTTGTGAGAACTTTATAATATGAGTTTTTGTTTCCTATCCGAGTTTTGGTTTCCTATAGGCACAAGCCCCTATAGTTAATTACCTCTCCCAATAACGAGAGAGAACTTTTGTTTAAGGCTAGTTGTCGATCAAATACGTTGTATCCATAGATACGTAGTATCAGGTATATAGTAGCAGTATGGGCATTTAGAAATATGAAAAATTCAAGGTTTGATATTTAAAATTAGAAATTTCACCATCTTGCACTTAAAGCACATGGTGGGGAGATGGATGATGGACCAGATCAAGATCCCATGGTTCTGTCGTCCCAGCCCATCGTAATCTCTGGTCTATTTAGTCAAAGGAGATAGTTGACCCAACCTGACCAAAGGATCCTTGTCGACAGCCATGGGTTGCTTCATCCAAGGGGACCTTGTAGACTTGAGGGAGTATTTGTCTAAGGGGACAAATTTGAATCCACCTTAATTAACAAAGGGCTTTGTCTCCTATCTATCATATCATATTAATTTATATCTCAAGGATTTGATGCCACTAAGGAATACATTGGCTCTGGCCATAACCGCTATCTCGTGGTGCCATTTGTTGGCAAAATCTCAGTTCAAAGGGCCCTAGGTAATAACTGTTTATCATGCATTGCTATTTGGTGGCTAAACTGTAGGTTAGAGGACACGTACCACGTTCTTACTGTTAGGAGACTATTTGAAAATGGATCCTAGTGATATTCTCGATTAGACATTAGCTCTTTGTGAGCTGAAGTAGTTTTTAATTTGTCAATCTCGACAAACTGTTGCGAAGGTGGATGAATTTTGTTTTAAGCGTTGATGGTTGAATTTCCATTTTTTAAATAGTTGGAATTGAGATTTTTATTGGAGTTTGGATTTTGGGGACATTTGTGATGGCATTTTGAATTATTAGAATTAACCCCTCCAGTTGAGATTTACATTCAACACAGCCATCATCGGGGTATACGGAGTTTATTTTCATTAACTAAACCTTTGGTGTAATCAAAAATTTGGGAGAGGACCCCAAATTTTTTATCACAAAATAAAAACTTTTCTAAGTAAAAGAAAATACACAAAAGGACACAAAGTAGATGAATAAACTTAAAACAACAACTTTTCTTCATAATATAAAAGATTTATAAACTTAGACACTTACAAATGACTCAAACAAAACAAACACCTAAAGTTGCAGTTCTTTGAGATGAAGGATACAGTGGAATGGATACTTGCGGAGAAACGAAAGAGATTATAAGCCGAGAAGAAGGGTGGAAAGAACTCGCAAGTCTCCCCAAGAGATAGAAGAAGAAGAAGTGGACAAAGCTCGCAAGCTTTTTCAAAAACTCTCAGGTTTCTTTCCAAAAATCACATCATAAACTTAAACATACACAAAACATCTACTATTTATAGACCAAAAGAGGGAATACAAACAATCCCAAAACATTAATTAAAAGCTAATAAAATTAGGGAATATGAAAAGCCAACAGCCCATTCATAATATCCCCAAAACTGCACAGGAACCCAAGCTCCACAAGCCACGGAAAAGCCCCCCATCAGCCACGGGAAACAACCCAGCCAGGGACCCCAAGAGGCCCGCACAGAACCGAGGCACCAAGGCACGGGAAAATCACCCAGCACGAAAAACCAGCAACCAACCGTGGAAACCAAGGAGCCAAGGCACGGAAACAGCCAACCGTGGACACCAAGGAGCCAAGGCATGGAAATCAATGATCTAAAAACATAGCTCATAATAAGCTAACTCTTAGTTCAATAAATGAACTAAAAACCAGCTCATAATAAGCTAAATCTTAGCTCAAAAATTAATGAGCTAGCTCATAATTGCTTGTAGAAGCTCCTCTGCTTGTCTTAGCATTTCGATATTTACCTGTAGATGATATATAGTGTATGTGGCAGCTCTACTATAATGATTTATAGCAACCTGCGTTTGTTGCATTTGTTCAAATGTAATCCTTCATAGTTTATTTAAGTTTGAGTTCTCTTGCATTTAGTTCATTTGAACTTGAGTTCCCTTGCATATGATTCAGTCAAGTTCAAATTATGTTCAAAGGTTCACAAGTTCGAGTCCATGTTCAAGTACGAGTCCCCTGTCCAACGTCATTTGATCATGTTTGATTTAGATTTTATATTCAAGTCATTCTTATGTCAAGATTGAGTTCTAATCCAATGTGCAAGTTCTATTTAGGTTCAAATTATATTCAGTCCAAGGATTGTTTATTTGATGTTCGAATCAAGTTCAAAAGTACCCTGTAATTTCTCCAAGTCCTTGAATCTTCAATCTAAATTTCGACAGCCTCCCGGCGTCTCCCCTGTTTAGGGGAAAATCCAAGAAACTAGCCTTCCCCTCTTCGTTACTTGAGCGCTTCAGGTATGTATCAAATGACAGCACGGCCGCAAATTCTTTAATTCCCGCCCGCTACATGAGCATTTAAGAGTCTTCAGGTACCTATTTCAAAGATGGCAGCTTTCTTTTCCTCCTCTGCACTATTTGAGCATTTGGAGGTACTTAATTTTTGTCCCTGTTACGCTATTTAAGCTCTCTGAGGCTTACTCACGTCGTCACTAATGTCGCACCGGTTTCTCTCCCTACTATGCTACATGAGAGCGTAGGGGTTTGTCGGTTCGTCGCAAGCGTCGAGGGTAGGATTTTTAGGTTAGAAACTTATACCTTCGCATGGGTTGGGGAGGCGACGATGAGGATCAATGTGAGAGAAGGGCATTTCTTTCTCTCTATGCATTTATATACATACTAAATAATATTGACAATATATAAATAATAATAATATCATTATTATTAATAATAGCATTATTATTATTATTATTATTATTATTATTAAAATAATGTCATTATCATAATAATAATAAGAATAATCATAAAATTATGATGATAATATTAATATTAATATTAACATTAATATTAATATTAATGTTAAACGCACTTTAGCATCAAAATATTGAGGTGAGGGAGAGACAATGTTGGGCTGATTTGGGTTTGTAAGTGGGCTTTGGAATATGTTGAGTTAGGGCTTTTGGTTGAAGCAGTTAAGAGGCATGAGAAATGACTATTCGGCGCCGTTGCAGAGCTACGACTTCATCACTGTTGCAGGCGGGACGACATCATCACTGTTGCAGGCGGGATCTTCGGCAGGATTTGCGTATAGGCATGACAGAGGTAGGTATGTATTTTTTATTTGCTCACTTTTTTTTTTCATAGTAGAGGTCAACAATGTGATGTGTGTGTCAGTGTCTTAATTGGCTCAATAGCACCATATAAGCATAAACTTAACTCATTACTGGCCAGTATATCCATCTTCGGCACAACGGTGCGCAACTCGTAAGTTTACTGTTGTCTGTGCTAGAAACGTACAAAACTCACTTCTGCTCAGTACATCTCCAATCTGCACAGCATGAAGTAGTTCTTACATCTATTATTGTTTGTGGTGAAAATGTTGAAATTAGCATTTGTTGTGCTGCTCCATGAATACTTACATTTCATGATTAACAATATGAATAATTTCGGTTTACTTTTAGAAATTGCAAATTTAACCTTGTAATGAACAGAATCTTTTTGTATTCACATGCCAACCATTTTATGCATTCACATTTTTTATAATTGATGTTATGATGATCTGAATATTGTGGCTTCATTAACTACCAGGCAAGATTCTTTGCTCCGGAGAAAGCAAAGGCATTTGTTGATAGGTATTCAAGACAATAAGTGGCCTATTGAATCAAATTCAGCTTGCAACGATAACAGATTTATAGCCACTAATCCAAGGTAAACTCTAAGAGCTGTTTGATTGCCTTCAAAATTAGTGCAAAGTAAAACACATGTTTTGTTTTATTTTTTTTATTTTGATTTGAAAATTCCACTTTAATTATTTAGTCTCACATCACCTGCGCATTTTATCTTTAGTTTTTTTATAGTTTTTTTTTTTTTTTGGGTTTATATGGGTAAGAAAGGCACATGAGATGGTAGAGCCATGTGAAAATATTTGGTTGAAGTACTTGTTTGAAAAATAATTAGTATAAAAATTTAATGTTTATTTTAAAATTAAAATATATTAAATTTAAATTAAATTGTTAAATTTAATAATTTTAATTAAATTTATTAAACTAATTTTTGTAATTATATACATGAAATAGCAATTGAATTGGCCAATTCAAATTGGGATTAGCTCAACGGTTCGTCGGGCAAACCCCGGTTTGAACTAGTTTTTCCCGGTTCATTGAGAAATTGATTTTCGAAATAGTTTGTACCAGCCTGCGGTCCAGTTTCCAGTTGAACTAGTCAAACAGGTCGGTTTGATCTGGTTTTTAAAACAATGATTTTTCTGTTATTTTCATCATTATCTGTATTTTGTTTGTAATAATTTGATTTGAAAACGATTCTTATAGCATTTATTTTAGTAGAATTTGAATTATTTTACATATAATATATCAGGAGCCAAGTTGCCCCTGACTTCCTTTGTGCACTTTCAGCTTTGATGTGTGTCATGTGATTTGAATAAAAAAACTGTTTTCCTTCTAATATAATCTATCAAACACATTGTGCAAATGCATTATTAAGTGCTTGCTTGCCCTCACATGTGCACGACTCGCTCTCGTGCATGTCGTGTTCGCCTGCACGCTCGTGTTCGCTTTCCACACGCATTATTTCTAGCCAGCACTCTTAGGACTGGGCAATTTTATGACTCCGGTTTTGTTTGGGATAGTTTTTCAATTGTTTGTGTTTGGAAAAATAGTCAACAAAAATAATATATATTTGAATGTCAGTTTTTAAACGAACTTCGATAACAAAATTTGTGTGCTGCATGTCATCCAATATGGTGGGTCCCAGCACTGCCCAATAGCTGACTGCCACTTGGAAGTTTATCCCAGTCAACTGCTGGCTTTGTGAACTACTGAACTTAATGTTTTAGATCTTTGCCATTTTGGTGAACTACTGAACTTATTTTTTTTGGGAAATTTTGGGGCCTAAGCCCATATCATTGATGTAAAAAGATTACAGAATAATAGACAAAAAACAAGTGAGAATACAAAGAAGCCACAAAAAGGCCAAAACTATCAGCCTAAGCTGCTAAAGAAGAGAAAAGCCAAAATTAAAGATACAGAATACAAAATTCTAAGGACTCAGTAAGCAATCTGCAATTAGATCACCGAGGCTACCAAAAAACAGACGGAATGTCGAGCTCCCCTGGTTGCCAAAAGAAGGAGAGAACCGAGACCGTCCAAGGGGAGAAGAGAAAGATTGCAATCATCATTGTCCTTCAAAAACCCAAGCAGTCCATGGTTGCCAAAACTGACCATCCATGGACACCAGCATACCTTCCACAGCCAAAAGGAAAAGATCTAAGTGAACATCAACTGTTGCGTGAGGAAGCATTTTTTCTTGAACGTCTTAAGAAAAACAGCCTTTTTGATCTTAGAAGTGATGTTATTAAGGCAATCAATGTTGTTTCCAAACAGTCTGTCATCATTGCGGGCTCTCCAAGTATAGTAAACAATAGCATATATTAATAAGAAGCCAAAGTTTTGCCTATTAATATCAGTCTCATGAACGTCCAGATCATTAAAAACTTGCCAAAGGTTTGGACGGAGCAGCATAGATTC